CTCCCCAACTTCCGTTGCTTTTAACAGTGTTTTCGCAAGAATATGGCAGTTTTCAATTGGAATGATTTCATACTTTATTGTAATTAATCGGAAAAGTAATACAGTTATCTATAAGCCATTAGAGAATGACGCTAAACAGGTATTGGATAATGAAAAAGTTATACGAAGACAAGAAGGACCGATCTCTAGTGTTTTATAAACAAAGAAGACCCCTGGGGCCGTATTCATGAACAGAGAAGCTTCTGGAAATTTTCATAATCTTCTGAAGCCTTCTAGAGGCTTTCAAAACGTTCAAGAAGCTTCTAGAATTTTTCATTCCAGACACAAAAAAATATACATTCCGAGTAAACCTGCCCCTAGAATTTCGCCCAAAACTTGCGATGGGCTTTAACCGATAAGATTTTTTTTAGTTTCAATAAATATCGATAAGATCTCATGATTGATCCGTGTTGAATCGGATGTAAGACATCTGCAAAAGGGAGATTTTAAAAACTTCTCATCGGTCAAAGCCCGCCGAGATTTTCGGAGAAATTTTCCGGTGAGTGCACGCCTCGGAACGTATATTTTTGTGTGTAGTGTGGTAGAAAGTTCTTCCATAAACTAAAAAATTACTTCCAGGATTTTGAGTTGTTTCTAGAAAAGTCTAGAAGTCTCTGGAAGGTTCCCGAAGAATCGGGAAGGTTCCGGAAGCTTCTGGAAGTTTCAAAATGTTTTTGCAATGTTTGAAAAAAGTCTTTTAGAATCTTTTCGAAGTCTCCAGAAGCTTCTGGATGGCTTCTAAAGTCGGAATATTAGTTTTGAAGCAATGTTATTGTATGTCAACAAATGTAACCAAAATTTATAGAACTTTGGAATAGAAACGCTGGGAATCTGATAAATCTAATTTCTTCCCAAATGACTTTCAGGCTTCTGAATCTGAAAATAGTTATTTTAACTGATCTTTCTATCATTTATCCTCCTTTTTAAAATCTCAATTTTCGGATCTTTAGGAGTCTAAAAGATTACGGATTTCTGTGACAGTTCAGGTTCGCAACGTCTTGGAATGAACACTTTTGTGTGTAGTTTGGTAGGAAAACTTTCATTTGATTTTATCCTGTTTTTTTTTGAATTTCGTTCTGCCACCCTCTTTTCCGAATCCAAATTCATTTCGATTCCTAACTTATCCTAGTTTTCAGAGCTGCTCCAAAATTTTCGACTCAAAAAACAACTGAAAAGCATACTTGTAAAATTCCGGGCCGGCCCGCCAAAGCCCGGGCTTGAGGAAAATTTCAAGGCCCGGGCCCGGTAGCAAAAATGTTATCATTTTGAAACGAATTTTGAGCTCTCAATACAATTTTTTATATTTTTTGTGCTTTTTTGATTGTTTGTCTATTTGATCGAAAAATACAGGACTTTGGTAAGTGGAGGCTCCATGATCCTACAGTAATCTAACTAAGACCATAGTAATCAAAGTAAAGCTACAGTAATCAAACAATAGCCAAAGTAAATCTATTTAGATGAAGCTAAATTCGGGGAGGAAAGCGAAAAGTGGGAAGAACCATCTGGGAGGAAAAATGGGCTCAAACATTCGAAAATCCTGATTTTCTCAACAAAAAAAACAAACCTTTTTAGCATCTCCGGCTGCTTTCGACTGATTTTTCTTCAAATTTTCCGGCTTTTTACTGAAAAATTGACATAAAAATTGAATAAAATTCAGGTGAAATTTTCTTACCCACGATTATTGACTCTAGGCG